TGATTCTTTGAGGGTCTCGTTTATTATCGGGTTTTTGGCTCGGGAAGCTTTTCCAGGTTGCTAAAACTGAGTATGACTTAGTTTCAACATTTGGTTTACCAAAACCTTTAGGCATGTGCAATGTGAATTTTTTTCTTCAACTTACAGTTTCGCCTACATTATATGGATCCCTTTTGCGGCTTTCTGTGGGTTCGTCGTTCATCTGGTCTTGTAATTTTGTGGGATCATGGGCTCGTGGTTCCATGGGAGTTCGCCTATCATGGTCATGCGGTTGTCTTTCATTTTCTCGATAGTGCGGAAAAGCCGATGGCCATGGAGAATTCGGATACGGTGATGCCGACATAAAGGAATCGAGGTAGGCTGGATATGGCTGATACTGCTGAGGCTGGCACTGATGTACCATCGAGGGGCCTGAACGGACATGTCGCAGAGGGGTATGTGGTTGCCCATATGTCGGCGAAATTGGCGAGGCTAAAAGGTCTCGGGGGTGCTCGCAAAGGGTTACCGGTGTCGGAGGAGCAAATGATGTCGTCTCTGGTGCTGTGAGTGGTGACGGAGGCACAGGGATGTTAGAAGGCACTGCAAATGGTGATGGAGAGCTGGAAGGCACTGAACATGAGTTTTTGGCGTTGGACATTTACTTTGAGTCCGTAAGTTTTTACTAGATTGGGATGAAAAATGAGAGATGCAACTAATATTGAGCACAAGATGAGGATGAACTGACTCCAATTTAGCGGCAAAGCTGGCATTGCTTATCAGCACCAATTTAATCGAAACACCAGGATATCTAGATAAGAGTCCACCAAGGAATGGCACTCTTTTTAGCACACCAGATGACAGTAGCATCTATGCAATAATTACTGCCTAAAGATTAGACGGCTAATTGACAATGAACTGATAAGTGGAACTAGACAGTGCAGTTCTTATCAGTAAAGCCGTCATTATCAGGGAAACTTTTCATTAGTCAATTCTTGAACCAAGGCTCATTTCATTTCAATCATTCAATCGCTCCTCAGTTCAGCCATATATTAGAGTCTTTCATCCGTGTCATCATGCTATGTAGAACTTTTCGGGTAAAGGAATTAGTACAAATCCTCGATGCCGCCACTTCCATCTGCGAAAGTGCTGTAATTTTATCATTAATCAGCGATTGGTGCGTAAATATTAAATGGTCTGATTGGCCGGGAACTGCCATCTTTAGTGTCGACAGAAGGCAGAAAAGAAAATGCAACAGCATGGAATATAAGAAAAATCTACGAACTCGAGAAAAGATAAAATATCGTTCAACCCCAGACGGCTACACAGGGACTCGATGGTCTTTTTTGAACATACTGGGAGTGTCAAAAAAGGGATTGACATCGTCAACGACCCTTTCGTGTCCCAGTGCAAAATTCGTTTGGTCGACAAACCTCGGGATACTGCGATTAATGGACCATCATGCAGTGGCAATTTATACGTTAACTACTCCGAGTTGAGAAACGGGTCACAAGGCGAGTCAAGGAAACGAGTCGCCGGAGAATCACTGCCAGGCAATTTCTAAAAATCCATGATTACGGACGCTGAGAAAACTAGACTCGAACAAAAACCCTCAGAGCTCAAAGCCAAAAAAAAAACAAGGAGAAAAACCGCAGGAAGATATTTTGAGTTGCCTTGATTATTTTGAGTTGCCAGAAAGTGGCATTCCCTTGAAGTTTGCTCCATGCTTCAACGGTGTAATACAGGTGAAATTATCTGGTAACTAATCAAATGTGTAACTACTCTACTAATTAATCACATCCAGCTATCCTTATATTCTGTATGATCATCGATTTCATCTGATATCCTGAAAATTGCATTTGCGGATGCAACTGATTTTCCAAAATTTTGCGGCATTTTCGGCAATAAAAAGATGCGTTGGCTTGATGAGGAAAAAAAACAGGGCAAATTTTCATATTGAATCCAGCTACACCAGTAACCAGAAAGGTCATTGGTTTATCATCCAAACAGTGTGCTGCTAAATTTTTGGGCAGTATAACCTCAGGATTTTTTGGATGCCATCAATCTTGGGATTCTGTGCTGGATGAAAAATGGGATTTGTTGCCAGCAAGAAACGAACGTTAGCTAGACACTCTGATCAAATCTCTCAAGTTCAACGAACACAGAGCTTTCCGCATAAGCACAATCCGATGCCATACAAATGCATGCCGTGGTAGATATGCCGTCGAGGATAACTACCGAGAAGTATTTAGACATAATAAGACCGAGTCCGCCCAGGATTTTTTTTTTATGAATTGGAATGAACAACTTGAACTGTTTTTACTGTTTGTTGTCATGACTGTTTTCTTACGAATGTTTGTTGTTATTTGAACTCTTTAAATTAACCTTATTTGCCGTAATCTTTTTACTGTATGCAGTATGTGTTATGGTCTGAAAAATATGCCGGCCTGTCAAAGTTGCTAATGAAGAGTAAACTATCTATTTGGTGTTATTTGCTCATAGAAAGTAAATTATCTATTAAGAAAAACTAATTTGAATAAATCCGTTTTGGATAAAAATATTAAGAAAACTTGAACAACTACAGCTAAAATAAGTGGTTAATTGCAAAAACAAAAATATGTTACCGAAAACTTTGCCCTATCAAGCTATTTTTGAAAACACCTTAATTATTGAAAACACTTAAACTATATTTGAAAACACCTGATTAATTTAAATGCTAGTTTCATAAGTTTGTTCAATTTGTTCCTTATGCAGGAATTGGAATTGATGGCAGGAATTGGGATCGAATTTGGGTTACAGGAATAATGATCGGAGTTTCATAAATGTTGAATTTGTTCCTTATGCAGGAATTGGAATTGATGGCAGGAATTGGGATCGAAGTTGAGTTACAGGAATCATGATCGAAGTTTGGTTACAGGAATCGGGATCGAAGCTTGGTTACAGGAATCGGTATCGAAATTGGGCTACAGGAAATGGGATCGAAACTGGATTACAGGAATTGGGATCGAAGTTGGTGACGAAGTTGGTCAGAACGAAGTTGAGATCAAATTGAGACTGGTAGACGTCACGTATTTTTGGTGAACCGTTGTTGGTGAACACCTGTAGTAAATAAAAGATATAAATTAAAACGTTACCGCATGTAAACATTAATGTAAATGGAATCCGCAAGCGTTTTGCGGATTCCACTGACAATTTGCGGATTCCACTTACAGTGTGCGGATTCCACTTACAGTTGCGGATTCCGCAACAGCTCAATTTAACGATACAAATGTTTTATCATTTGCTTGTGGATTTCACAAACTGTTCTGGATTCCACAAATACTGTTGCGGATTCTGTAACTTCGCATATTTTTGGAGCGATTTTGAGCGGTACAATGAGTGAAGTTTTTGTTTGTGGAATCCAAAACAGCATAGAAGATCAAAGAAAAGTAGCAATGTTGCGGATTCCGCGACAAAATTGATTTTGGCCTGTTGCGGATTCCGCTTACAATGCAGAGAATGCCCAGTTTGGCCTCGTAATTTAATAGTTAACGGTGAAACATTGAGAAAAATATACTGATTCCCGGAAAAATTTGGATCGAAACTTAACCAGTTTTGGTTGAGTCAGTCGAATTATAGCACGTATGTGTCGAAGAAAGTCAAACACTCATTCACCTCGATCATATTAGTTGAAACAACCAGTTTGGGTGAAGTCGGCTGAAGCTTAGCACGCTTGGGTGGCACACAGAAAAACACATATTTTCCACGATCAAATCGGTCAAAAAAATACAATTTGGGCAAAGTCAGTAGAAATTTAGCACGCTTGAGTCGAACATAGACAAAAACGGTCGATTATTTCTGCATTGACCGAGTTGTACAAAGTATAGCCAGTTTGGCCTGGATTATAGCACGCATTTCATTTTCGGCCGAGTTTGCCGAAAAATAGCCAGCTTGGACTAGATGTAAAACATGTGGATTCAGCCTTGTCGAACACATATTTCCCAGGATCAAATCGGTCGAAACAAAATCGGTTAATGAAGTTGGTCAAAACATAGTTTTGGTGAAGTTTGGGTGAATTCGGTCGAACTACAGTCGAATAAGTTTTTCCTCTCGCCGAGTTGGTCAAAACATAGCCAGTTTTGGTCAAGTTGGTCAAAACAAAGCCAGTTTGGTTCAAGTTAGCCGATACATTTGGTCAAAGAGCGTCGAACGCGGTTTTCATGGGCTGAGTCAGTCGAAAAAAAAGCCACTTTTGGTCGAGTGGTGGATTCGGTCGAAACATATCTCGTGCATAGATCGTTTCATGCCTTTTTTAAGCAAACTTGTGATGACAGATTCAAAGTTTTTTTAATTTTTATTTCAAAAACTGAAACATTTTTTTGGTTTCAGACACTCTACCAACAAACGATTTATCTAAATTTTTGGTCAATCAGTCAATAAGCAGTATTTTTTACAAACTTCGAGGGAAAGCATCTTTTCCTCAATGTCGCAAAAACTTGTTTGGAATTTACAACATCTTTTGCAAATTTGGTCTATTTGGCAATCCTGGGGAGCTCAAAAAATTGTATTTATAATCGGCCTAAGATCAACGAGGGTTTTTTTTGCTTCGTCCTTTTGAAAAGACGCTCGAATAAATCGTAGATCAGACCGTGCCAAAACGTTTGAATTTTTTTCACCCTTTTTGAAAACCAGTCGTTAACCGAATTGGCAGAGCTAACCACCACTGATTACTGCAAGTAGTAAACGTAAAGATCCTGTTATCATAAAGAGCTGACTTTCGTGCAAGGAAAACAAAAAAGATTTTCCCATTTTTTTTGTAATTTTAGGCAATCGATTTGATCGATCGAAACAAAAATCTTTTTTTTTGTGCTTGTTTTCTTTCATATGTACTTCTGTTGATTTAATACAGGTTATACTCTTATAATGTATACAGCTCATATTTGTGTTTTCTAAAGGAAAAACGGTTGTTTTTGATGTTGTTTTGCGATTAGAGTGTTGAAGTACCACAATGATAATGGATACGCGCATGCATTGTGTGTGGTGTAGTGTCTCGTGGAGGAGGAGTTTCGTGTCTGTGGCTGTCAGAAGAGCTCCGAGTGGGACGAGAACAACTTCAGGTCCTGCGAGCCCTCCATGTTCGTCATGTGTCCATTCGATTCTGTTCAAGCAGAAAGTAAGCCGCTTGTAATCCTTCATTTCAGTTAATATCACCGTATTTTTCACCAAATTTTGACACCTTCACGATAGTCTAGTTCAGGTTTAAGCATTATTTCAACTGTGTTTAGATTCTCAAGACATCTAGTTATTATTACGAAAAAGCGCTCATAGCTGAAGTTTTGACCGAGAAACCTTCTAGTTGGGTGTGTTATTGCATATGTTTGCTTTGTGAAGCTTTGGGATTCAACCAATTAAATAACCTGTAAAATAGATAGCCTCAAAAAATCAAAATATGAAACTATTTGCTGCTTCTCTAATTGTCCCGCACTGAAGTTTCATGAAAAACAATCTGTTATTATAAGTTTTCATTATCAGTCTGCTCAAAAAATAAAAATAATCCATTGAGTTAGGACCGATGTGGTTAACTCATAGAGTAATTTCGGATAGGGTACACCGTCTGCTCGTCACGCTATCTAATTTTCGGCCGGATAGATTCGTGCAACTTCTTAGTCTAATACCGATCCTAATCTTACTCTTATACTTTCTAGTCTCAGGGTGTTTAACTAGTCTCTGCTAGGCTCAATAGATCTAGGGTATACTGGTTTGTTGCGGCTGCTGAAGTTCTCTTGGAGTGACAACTAATTTCTAAGTTAAATTCAAATCTCTCTGGTGCTGAAATTACAAGTAATTTCAGCACTTACAAATAAGTGGGTTGTTAGTTAGATGGATCATGATTGGTTAATATTAAATACTTTACGGTGGTAAAATATCTAATTTATCCAATCATAAAATATAGTTTAGATCAGGTTCCACCCATCCGGGTTTTACAGAGTTTTTTAGAATTATCTTTCTGCAATTCAAAGGATGGATGATGAACGTTGGTATTTGGCGAACATCGTATTCTTGTCCGGTTCCTCTTGTTAGAGAAGTTCCAGGACGCTGGAGTTAGGGACATCAATCGTTGTGTCGTCTTGTGACAACGACTGTGTTTCCCAATGAAATCAATCTGATTTCAAAATGGTTTGCTATGACGGGTTTTTCTGTATTATGTAGAGAAATTGTTTTGTGTTCAGCCTCGTCTGGGAATGGCGTGGAGATTGTGTGTGGAAGGGATGCCTTGTAACTCGGATCTGTACGTATACTTGAACATCGAGGTGGCCATTGGTCTAGTTCAATGAAGTCCTTTTCTGCGAAGTCAAGTCGTACTCTAAATCCTTTGAGTTGTGATTGTGGACGGCATATCGGTTGTGGTTAGCCATTCTTGTTCGAGTGTAATGGGATCATTTTGTCTTTGGATGTTAGTCTTTGTTGTTGTGTGTTAATCTATATACTGCAAGGTATGATTTACATTTTATAAAATTTTTATTAGTTTGGTTTTTTAATCATGAATTTAGTTAGTTGTTTTCACAAAAGCATTTTGTTTTAGTTCGGTTATTTTGAGGAGTTACTCACCCTTGAGTACCTCTTATTAAAAATAGAAGTGTGGTCACAAAGCGTGGATGTAGCGCGGTGGGTTAGGCCGGCTATAGAGCATGCTCAGGACGTCCTCTCTGGTGGGTTAGGCCAGGAGTGGGAGTATGGTTTCGTGCGGTTTCTTTGAGAGGTCCTGTTGTGTGATAACGTTTTATGTTGGGTTTATGTTGGTCTTTCTTAAGTTTATTTGGTTGTTTCCTTTTTTTCAAAAATCAAATTGTTTTTGTTATGGGTTTGTCTTTCGACTTTTTTGTGTTTTATTATTTCTTTCGTAGACTTTATAATAGTCTTCAAAAGAATAAATTATCCAGTTTTAAACAGGGTTAATCCGGTTTGGGTACCGTTGGTTTTCTTTTCTTAGTCATTCTGTTATTTTATGATTTGTGGTGTTTAGTAAGCTGCGTTGGTTAGTTTGGTTTAGTATATAATTCCTTTCCAACCGGGTTAAAGGAAAGTTTGAAACTTGTTATCGTGTGTTAGAGTTGTTGAGTGTGAAAACTTGAAACTTAAAATCATTCTTTAAACAATTCTTCGTGGGCGAGCTGTGCGAGTTTGGATATAATTCCTGTGTGAGTGAATGAAAATATCAAAAGGTTAGTACTGCATTTTCATTTTATCAATTTATTCTATAGAATTTCAATTTTACTGCTAGCTTTTGGGGGAAATTTAAAGTTATAAATTTTCATCATAATTAAATTTACTGCTTTATGGGGGAATGATTTATAAATTATTTACTACATTTGTTATGAATTTTATCAGATTATCTTGTGTAAAATATTAATGAAGTTTAGAAGAATTTTAACAAGTTTATTTTTTTTTCTGTTTTTTGCAGATGATCGTGGTATGAAGACTAAAAATGTAAAAGAAACATGAGTAAAGAATGGTTAGTACTAATTTTAAATTTAATAGTTACGAATATTTTTAAATAATACTTACCTGTTAATCGTCTGGGAAAAAGCCGTGGGGAAAGATGTCGTGTATTATGTCCGAATTTGTTAGTAATTTTGCTAGTATGCGAATGATGTTTTTAGTTTGGAGCAGTGGCCAAAGCAATTGAAGTGCTTTGATGGTTTTTAGTTCTTCGGTGTCTACTGCAAACTCATAATGTGTGTTTTGAATGAGGTTATATATTTTGTGATTATACTTAGTATTGTGAAAAAATTCTAATATTGGTATTTCTATAGGTTGGATAAATTCATGTGGGATAAGGAAGGGTCCGGATTCTTCGGCATTAAAGGTCTTCGTGATGGGACAAAATATATACATTTGTGTTACTGGGTCATAATTGCGGAGGATGCCGCGAAAGTTAGTATCCTTGATGCAACAGGTGAAATTAAGAAAAAATGGTGATATGTACTTCGAGTTAAGAAACTGAAAACGATGGTGTGGTTGTCTTGATGGAGTATGTAAATCAAAATGATTTTGTATGAAGCGATAGTATGTATATGTATGAGTCTGTTTAGTGCGTAACTTAATGTCGTGTGAACAGTGCAAATCGCGTTCATGTGGTGCAAGGAAGTGAAAGGTTAGTGAAAATAACTGAAATTTTTCTTTAAAACTTTCGTAAGCTTGAATATCAATTAGTGCTTCAGAAATGATGTGATCATATTTTCTATCAAAAATATTAAGTGTGAATACATATGACGTTTTGATGAAGAATTTTTCTGTTAGTTGTGGGTTAGCGAAGCGGTCGTCGTCTAGAAATTGGTCTTGATTAGTTCGGATGTTATTATGGTCGTAATATTCTATTGTAAATTCGTTAGCTCGGGGTGCAGTGAATGTTTTTAGTGATTTTTTATATCCTATATAAGTAAATTGTCTAGGTGTTAGTGTTGCGGTGAGTCTGTATAGCATATCTTTATTCTTTTCTATATCGTTATGAGTACTAGATAGTGGCAGGCAAAGGGGATTAGTAAAATGGTATTATGCTGTCCAATGAAGTGTTGGCATTAAAACATGTTCATCTACAAAACTACGTGAGTCGTTAGTGTCGTTAGGTGTGTATAAAGTAAATTGTGGGAATGAGGGTAAGGTGATTGCTAGAAAATCTTTCGTGTTGGTGTGGTGTGGATGATTAATATATTCGCAGGCTGTTCCTGGTTTGGTCGGGAATGGATGGTTCGAGAATTTTCTTTTAAAAGTGCGATAAGCTCGGTGAGTGCTATTTGATGATTCGGTGGATGTGGATGATTTTGCTTATGATGCAGTGTAAGCTGAGGAGGTTGTAGGAGTAGGTGGGTTTGAGGATTCTATTGTGGATGAAATTTGATTTATAGTGAGGGTGTTAGGGTGTATTAGCTGTTGTTGTAGGGTGATAAAATTATCGAGTTCCTGGGAGATTTGGGGGTTATCTGGAGAATTATTAGATGATCGGTCGGAATGAAATGGAGAATAGGTTGGGGTTACTTGTGAAGCATAAGAAGGAGTAGAAACGGATGGGAGTGGGTTATTTGGTGGGATCGGTTGAAAAAGGGGTTTTGAAAAAACTGAGGAGTTGGTTTGAAAATTATTGGATGGAGATGGTTCGGAGTCTGCAAATTTGTCAGGGGTTTCTATATTAGGGTTATTAAGTTGTGAAATGGAGTATAAAACTGAAATATCTGAATTAGTATCCGAATTCATGCTTGATGATATATTAATAGTTGGAAAATTGGGTGGCGGGAAAGCAAAATGTGGGATTATTAGGATTGGAGTGTGGAGGTTGGTGGGATGGGAATTTGAGCTGTGTAGGGATCCAAGTTTTCGGCTCATCGTGGGCTAAAAAAATGATTATTTTGAGACTGAAAAGCGGTGGTATGGGTTTGTTCTATAATTTGTTCATATGTATTATCATCTTGTGAATGATGTGTCATTTTATGTTGTATGGGACTTTGCGATATGTTTTGTCTAAAATTTGTGTTATGTGTTATTGCTAGGTTTCGGAAATTACGTGGAACTAATGATAATGGATGGTTATGTGGTAGGGGTGGCAACTGTGGTGCGGTAGGTGTTACTTCTATGTTATTATGTTCTTCGTCGTATGTGTTCTGTCTTGTCGATATTTTTGTATTATATTCTTTTATTTGTGCATCTAGAAGAATTTTGTTTATTGATGATGAAAAAATTCCAAAAAATCCTGCAAATAGTATGCGTGCTACACTTGCTTGTCTATTTAATTGAGTGTGTATAGCGCATGTGTTATAGATTCCTTTTAAAAGTGAAAAAAGAAATCTTATAAAGTTAAACATTGCGTATAGGACAGTTAATTTTTCTAAGATGTAATAGGGCCATCCTAGAAAATCGAGAATTTCAATTTTAAGTGTAACAAAGCTTAAAAATATTTATAGGTGAAACATCTTGTGGTCTGTATTTTTCACCGTTTAGATATATATAGTCTTTAATGTCTTTAAAATATCCGCTATAATCTTGTGTATAGATATCTGCAAATCCTGCAGTTTCGGCAAGTTTGCGTAAGTTTTGGTCAATTGATTGTCTTTGTATAGTGTCCATTTGTGTTAATAATTCTTGGAATTGTTGTGTTCTAATGTGGTGTTGGATATCTGA